GACTCTTAACACTTTTTCCACAAGCTATTTTTCAGCGTTTCGTGTTAGCTACTTTTTGCCACTCTTAGTAAAGCTCACTAACCACCGGCACGGTTTAGGACATAACAGTTAGATTTTCGTGATACAATGAAAATTGTTCTCACGTTCTCATCAATTGCATCCCCCGCTATCGGCATTTTGCTCTAATAAACATCTTCAATCATCCAATTCGCTGCTCGGCTCAAAATTCAGGGATAGGAGAGATATTCGGGAAAGGTTAACAAATCATCAAAGGATTTGTACCGATTCGATGCACTAACGCGCTAAACGACGATCGAGCAACCTACCACCTGCTTGCAGCAAATGGACATGAATACCACTCCGGCACTCACTACTGAACTAGAACTCATTTACGGTTTCATTATTCCAAGTGGTGGGATGTCTATAGTATACTTAACTCTCGAATTCATTACTTACTAAGAGCATCTCCACCGCTGGTTCTCATTTCAGTCGTTAAATGACGAACCGAATGGGTCTCTATCTCCCACCGCGGGTTCCCAAATAACATCTTTGTCTTGGTTTTGATTTGTTTTTGTTTTGTGATGGTCGGAGCAAGAGGAACAAAAGTAAGTTCGCAGAAAACGATGGGCTGTTTATTCTGGTAAGTATACTTGAATAAAACAGCAAAAAAAGGTTATCTTCCATTTAATTCCACTTAATAAATTTTGGTATCCACGACAGATACGTATTTCGACTACAATGTGCAGTCTTCATCAGTGTCATTCCCACTAAAGAACTTCTCAAAATCTAACCCCCTTAAGTACTCATCTCCTAGGTCTCCTTATTGGAGATTTGTATAGATTTTTCTCCTTTAGTTTACTTAAATCTTTGGTTTTTATTAGTTAGGTAGGTTCAGATTCAACACATTGTAGTTTCGGCTTCGGACTCGTGCAGTTTCCTAAAAATAAAAATTTAATTAAACAACAGTTAATTCACATTTACTTACCTTTCACGTTACAGTCTTTTCTTTTCTTGGAACCAACTGTTATTATTTTTCCTCCTCCGACCAGTTCACAACAAAAACAAAAAATACTTCGGCGGGCTTTTCTTGTTTCTGTTGTCAAAGAAAATAGCAACCCATCTCGCGTTGCAACTCGGTCTTCAAATTTGAAGACCCGCTACTATCCGGGAGTGCGTTCACGATTAAGTTTTCATTTTGCACAACCATTTAGCACCCCGCGGTTACAACCCATGGGTTGCTAAAATGGGTATTAAACCCATTGTGATTTTCGCTGCGTGGACACAATATGGTGGAAGGATTGATGCCACGTACCAAATCCTTCCCGTGATATAGGTATTTAGCAAAATAACCTTCTGTTGAAGGTTAAGTCCCCTCACGAGTGCAGCTACAAATGTTGAGCAAATTTGGTAACTTGAGCATCCCAATTAATCTTAGTCATTGCGCGGATTGAGTTAGTGAAATAAATGCCAAGAATCTTCACCGTTTCTACTGTTTGCAACCATGGCATATTCAGTGGATCTCCATCAATGAGCCCGACGTTGATTGCAACAGTTTTCAATCTATTGAGCTTTGCGCCGGCGGCACGTTCAAAACGTCCGAACAGGTCATTGATGCGCTCAATCACGCGTGTACTGGTAACTATAACAGACACATCATCTGCGTAAGCCACCACGAGATCGGGGCCAACGAGTCGCTCCAGTTGTTGCAGAAACGGATGGAGGTAGATGACGAACAGTATCATAGACAAAGGGTCCCCCTGGCGAACCGAACGTTCGATGGCGAAGCTCTGCGAGAGATGCCCGTTGACCAGCAGGCGAGACGAAGATTGTCCGGCAATACGAGCCAGTAAACCGACGAAGGCTGGGTTTATCCCCAACTGCCGCATCGTTTCATAGAGAAATGAGTGGGACACTCGATCGAGATCGTAGCTTATTAGTTTCCCTCTCCGCTTCCTCGCTATCAGCTCTGCAATGCGATCCTTCAGAGAAAGAGTTGCTTGAAAAATTGAGTGCCCTTCGTTAGAACACTTCTGCGCATCGCTCAAAACCGGGTACGACCTCAACACAGTCTCCAAACGAGATTTGAGTATACGGCTGAGGATGTTGTAGTCTGCGTTTAGTAGGCTGATCGGTCGGTATCCTCGTGCCGTGTTTACAGTTCCTCTCTTTCGTACAAGCACGATCACTCCGTTGACGAACTCAGCGGGGAGCTCCGTGGTCATAGCTTCGTTTAAAACGAGATTTAACTCTCGGTGGATGACATCGAACGTACGTTGGTACAATTCGACGGGAAGCCCATCGCTGCCAGCAGCCTTTCTTTTAGCCGATGTGCGAATAGATGACATAATTTCTGCTGTTGTTATTTCAGCCATACACGCCTCGTTTCGCTCGTCGCTTTCTGGAATCACTCGTTCGCAGTGGAAAAAAGATTGTGCCTCCTCGCTCTCGTCAGACGCTGTGTAAAGCTCCCTGAAGTAGTTTAGCAGGTGGTTTTCAATTGTTTCGGAGCTGTTTAGAGTCTCGCCATTCTCGATACCCAGCTCTGTTATGACGGTTTTTTTCCTTCGCCTCTCGCCAAGCTGGAACGTGCTGATATTTTCCCCTGCGATTAATGTATCGTTGATACGCATAAAGTGCTGGGAAAACATTCTCTGGTGAGTAAGCATCTGCGCTTTCACACGGTTGAGCGTAGCCAACATCGTTGGATTTTGGTAATAGTTGTCATATGCTTGCCGAAGCTGCGAATACAAACGTTGGTGTTCAGCATGAAATTCCCTGTACACCTCGCGAGATTTCCACCGAAAAAAAAGAAAGAATTTTCGGTTTAGCGCATGATATCCACCACGTTATCCAGTTTGGAAAGTTCCGTCGCTGTTGGGTTACATATTGCCATCTAATCTGGAACTCTTCGATGTTCTCTGCAGTGAGAATATGGGGACGAAGGGACCAGTAACCGCGACCAGGTTCGCGTCCGAGGCTAGGGAGGCATATTCTTGCGGTAAGCGCTTTGTGGTTCGTAAAAGAGCATACATGCGTGGCTGCACTCCGGAGATACGTGCATAGACCATTGCTGACGTATATGCGGTCGAGCCTGGAGACCGAATTGTGCGTTACGTATGTGGAGGAGGGGGTCGTGGGGTACAACTTAACCCAAACATCGTTGAGTTGTAGCTGCTGTACCGTGGCCTGGAGAGCGGGGCTGCTGTTGAAGCCCGACGAGTCACATGATCGTAGCACACAGTTAAAATCTCCGGCAAGTATTAGATGTTCGGTGTTGTGCCGAAGATAAAAGGCGACGGTATTATTGAAAAAGCGTTCTCGCTCGGCACGCATTGCTGTTCCCGACGGTGCATATACGTTTGCCAATGTGGTGTTTTCAACCCGCAGAGCAACGAGCCTGCCATCCAAGCTCTTTTCTACATGGGAAAACCGAACGTATTCTTTTAGCGCTATTGCAGTCCCCCTTCTCGACATTTGCGACAACGTTATAGCCAGGAATCGAGAGCTGCTCGTTCTCTACTTCTTGCAGAAACACGATGTCAAGCTCCATCGTTCTGATAAAAGTTCGGAAGGCGTTGAGTTTTGTTTCGTTGGTGATCGTGTTTATATTGATAGTAGCGATGTTGTAGCTGGCGATTGGATTCACGATTGGTTTTCCAGATCCCGCTCGTCATCGATACCATCTCGTCGCTTTCTGGTTCTACGGCGTCCTCTAGAGTTTGTGCTGTGCGTTGACATTGCCGAGTCGTCTGTCTCGTTGCCATCGGATTTTCCACCATCAGGGGGCTGTTGACCGGACGTGTTGGACAGCGACCTTTTCTCCGGCGGCGGTTTTGGACCCGATACGGGTATGATGGGGAGAGTGAGTGGAGGAAATTAAGTCTCCGATTGCGTGTTAATTGGTTTTTGTGTAACCGACAACAACTGCTGTTTCGGCTTCTTCGACGGTGGGGGTTTTGTCTGCAAAGTTGGCTTTTGGCTGCGTGGCTTCGCATTTGGTTTGGTTGGTGTTGGTGCAGGCTGCTTTGTCGCATCGGCATACGACTTCTGCACTAGCAGCTTTTTGTTCTGCAAGAAGGTGGCGCCGATGTGGATGAAATCCCGGCAGTGTCGGCAAGTTTGACGTGGACCAAAATAGGATAGCAACGTCGATTCCCCGTCGATAGTGACCCACGACTCGATGTTGTGTTTCACGATCATCTTGGCAATCCGAACACCAGTGGAAATGCCCGGAAAGTACAAATCACCTCCGCACATGTGTTCGCGAACTGAGATGACGTCATCGTACGCGGACAGGAATTTGATGATGGCTTCGTCCGATACGTCCTCAGACAGATCGTACAGCTTCACCTCCACTGCCCCGTCTTCCATGGTTATTCGCAGGGGAACCGTCTTCCCCTCACCCACTTGCACTTCGTGTTTTCCGTCGTGTTCTTCGCACACTTTTTGTGCCAGCTCCAGGTCGACGACCTTCACGAAGGCACACCCGAGACTTCTGCTACACTGTATTCTCAGCACTTCACCGGGCTTTAAACCCAACATGGTTCCAACAAAGTTTTGCACTTTTGCATAGTCCGGTTTTTTCGGCAACATCGCATAATCGAAGCGGAATGTGTTCGCGCGACGCGCCATCGTGGAGTCGTAGTACCCGGGAACACGCTACGGCTCGGCGATGGAAAAACGATGCGCGAAAAATGATATATAGCTTGAGATCGACTTCCAGAAATAGCGATAGCGTAAGTACGTCTGCTTGGCTCGGAAGTTGAGCGCTCACTGGACCCTTCGCAGACTACGAGGCTGGCGAAGTGTGGCCATGGATCGAGTAGAGTGGAGACGACTTCTTTGGACAGTCTGATTGGTAAGGTTAGTATATTCCACAAGGAAGTTGTCCTACGTAAAAAAAATCGAATCAATGGAATGGAATTTCGGATACTCGTTCGCCACGCGATGGAAACAGCCGGATCATTTGGAAATTGATTTCAGTTTTATATTCTCTAAAGTCTACTATAATTTTGTCCATGGTTTGCTTTTATTTTGCTGCAGTGGTTGCTCTTGACGATCACCACCACCAGAAAGTACGTTCGAGTTTGGGTAATGCGTGGTGAAAACGTGTGATTATCTCAATCAACGTAAAGTGGGTCGAAGGCGAAAAAATTGCATTATCAAAATAATAATTGTACAAATACCGTTTAATAAATACACAGTTTTACTTGATTGACACCCTTTCTCTTTCAGTTCGACTCGCTTAACTAAAAAAAATAATAATATTGTAATATTCTATCGTTGGAAATAAATAATGCTATATCGGACCGTATAAATAGGGCGAGCGTTTTCCCACTGGCACTAAAGAAAAAAACTACTTCCTACGGAGATTAATTTAGTTCATTTATCATACACACGTTCTTTGTGGAGAGGAGGACACCCAAATGAGAGAAAAGAGAATTGCTTTTTACAAAAACAAAAATTCCATAAACCTATAAAGTAAACGAACAAAAAAAAAACACGGGGACTAGAATTGGCAAACCTAACTCTTTCTCAAATGTTTCACTCTCTCTCTCTCTCTCCTTCTTTCTTGGTTTGTGTGTTTGTTTCAAATACGCAACTTATTTCAAGTGGGAGTGGAGTTCTTGCATTCATTATATATATATTATTTTTTATATATCTAAAATTAAATGCTTTTGCTTTTGTTCATTGTTGTTTTTTTAGGTTTCTGCTCCGTAAAATGTGATAAGCTTATATGCTTCATATTTTTGCTTCAAATACTTTTTGTTTTTAGTTTCTTTTAGGGATGTGTTAGACTGTATTAATTTTGATGTACTTACATGCTTTTGTTTTAAATTTTGATCGGTAAATATGTTTATTACTGAATAAGATTAGATTTTCATGCATTCATGTAACTGCACTTTATACGTGCGGTTATAAGATTGGTTTTGGAGAAGGGAGCGTAATAGTTTTCTGTTTGGTTTGGATAAAAATAGAACCTTTGCTGCAGAAGTAACTGGGAGTAGTACATATATCTATATTCTCCGGATGAGTGTTCCACCCTTTCGGGATCACCAGTTTAGGCCCGCTCCAATAATCTGATCAGTCGATCGGTAGTTCTATTAGTATGAGGTTCGGAATCGTTGCGGTAGATTTCGTACATGGCGCGAAACGAAAATAATTATGTTCAGATCAGTAACTGAGTAGCTGAATAAACTCAAAATTTTTGACGGCAGACAATCATGGTGCCATCTCGTAGCGAACACTCGAGGAAACAATTTTGAAACCAACAAGTTTGACAGTTTGAGATTTTTATATGGCTCTTAATAACACTTATGAACACACTTTCAAATCAGTCATCACAATGTTCGAAAACTCAACGAAAATTAAACTCAAAATGGCACTAACACAAGGAAACTAAAACATGAATTTGCTAACTGCGCCATCTACCATCCTCAGAGACCCCATCATTGCACTAACCACTAACAGGGAGTATTTGATTGGTTGACTGATATTAACCTATTCCTACTCTTCCTACAGAGTAAAAGAAGTGCGCTTCACAACAGTTTGGTGCATTGATTCTCATCCTAACAATTTTGCAGTTACCTACCAACATGTTTAGCATTTTAGTAAGTTTGGTATGTTTCTGAATACGTTCTGTAAGCCTATATGCTATCTCATCGCGAGCGGCGGACTCTGCACTGCACAGTTCCTACCAAACACTACCGAAAACCAAAGAAGAATACACGGCACATCTTTTCCACGCGAACTAGCGCAACTTTTGTTTGGTGCAAAATGTGTTCACTTTGTTAATACTTTTCACGCGCGCGCCCTCCGAAAATAACAGTGCACATGGCAATTACCTAGGGGCTTCCTAGGCAGTTGATTTTGGAAAGATTTCGAAAGGATACTCCCTGTTGTCGGCCTTATTACATCTGGCTCTCCTTCCGCCACTGGAACGTACCGGACTTGACGCCAATGCTGGACGAACCCTGGTTGCTTCCGCCGCTGGTCAGGATGTTGTTCGTCCGCCGGATCAACTGCGCCGCCGAATCGATCCGGTTGCGGATCAACCGCATGGCCGGATTCGTTGCAATGCCGCTGCGTTTCGATGATTTCCTGAAGACAAAAAAAAAGTTAAATTAAGAATCTTCCCCCAAACGAAACGTTACGACCGAACTCACCCTCCCTGCTGCTGTTCCTTCTGATTGTTGCCCAGGATGATGCGCATGTGGGTGTCCCGCGCGAAATGGTTGTCCGGCGGGTGCATGATGGTGCTGTTGTTCGACAGACTGATGTTCATCTCTTCGAACTGCTTGCCGAGCAGGGCCAACGACGAGGGCGGTTGGTTCTGACCGGGCGAGCTGATGTCACTGCTCGGCGAGTGCGGCGGAGTCGCGTAAAGCGGCGACATGCAGCCCAGGTCGAACATGTCCGCATCGGTCGGGTGATTCATTCGAATGTTTGAAGCTGCGTGGGGAAGGGGGAGAGGAACATGGTTGGTTACTAGAGTCACATTCAGCGGATATCTCCGGAACAGGCTGCTTACCAATATTCGTCTGGTACTCTTCTACGTTTGGCAGAATCTGGGAATGTTTCTTGCCACCGTACTTGCTGTTTGTGCCGCCAGCGGAAACCTGATGGTGCGGCTGGTGCTGCTGCTGTACAATGTGGTGCGATTTGGAATTGTGATGCCGGGAGTGTTTCTGCAGCTGCTGCGTGAAAGACATTGGCGCTTGCTGGAAAGGAAGGAAAAAGAATCATTGGTTAAAGAATCGTTATTTTCTGATGATTTGGCATTGTTCGTTGACTTGACATTTCAGTTTGACTAATTAGTTAACAATTCTGCAGGTCTTGAGAAAATTTAAACCTCAAAGCCTTCTTAGAAGTACCTACATTTTAAGGAGACAGCCCGGCAGTTTGGACAACCCGACTACAGTGTCTTCCGGAGTTCTGTTGGAGTCTTTTCCAGAGATCTGGTAGGTAGGGCATCTTCTAAAGACTACTAAGGCTCTTTACTTGAGGCCAGTCTGACCCTTTGCTTAGAACCTATAAGTGATTGGGTGACCAAACGGGTATCAAATCCGCCATGATTGCTGCCGAACGTGAACAGGATGCACTGAGGACGAGAGCCGAGACTTCCGAAAGGGCACTGATCGAGGCCAAAGAGAAAGCAACAACTGAAGAACAGGAGACGCCGAAGAGACTCCGAAATCCACTTTCGGAGAAGAGGAAAAGGAGTTGAACGACAAGGAAGGATGGCGTACCGTCAAGAAGCCGAAGGGGAAGTGGAACGGAAGGAAAAAGAAGAACAGAAGGAGAAACCCATGCCTCGTCGGCTGGGACGGGATTTGACAATAGAGCTTTTCACTCTTCTCAATGTTTTTCATGAATGCATTTCGAAAATTTGTGCGTGGTGTTTGAAGCAGTTGAGCAATGATGATTCGGAGTTTCTACCGCAGTATAGCACTTTGTACGTTAATTTTGCTGAACACAATAAAAACAACCATTAACAAACAACAACATCCATCGTCTAAAGTACGCATTTTTCAGCTTTCCTTTCGCAAATATAAACAATTAACAACGCCATTAGCGTCAACATTGATTCCGGCATCACTGCCAGTTAGGTTGCTGTGATCCTTCTGTCCTTTTTACTCCACATTTCCAATCAGCAACTGGCTCGGATTTGACAGCAAATTGGCTTGAAATCCCGTCCCAGCTCATCGGGAGCGAAGTAAGAGCACCGACAAACCGACATGACACTTAATTCTGAATTATGCCCAAAAATCGTAAACGGCCAATTTAAATGTGCAGTGATCCGAACTGTCAAAACCATAGGATTTTTTGATCTAGATAAAAATAATTTGTCCAGAATCGATCAGACACGAACACAACTTTTGCATGCGGGTTCATGGCTTAGCTAAATATTTTCCGTGAACACGGAGTCAGATGTCAGTAGTGTGCTTTGGTCACAAATTTTATTGTTTTTGCTATGGTCATTCATGTCGGTTTGACGGTGGAAAGAGCGCGACTCTGATCGTCAAAGCAAAGGACAAAACGGCGTACGCAGCAATCCTCCGTAAGGTTTGAGATGATCCGGAGTTGAAGGAACTAGGAGAGAACGTGGTGAAAACCAGGCGCACCCAGAAAGGCGAGATGCTCTTTGAGCTGAAGAAGGATCCTTCGATCAAGAGCTTAGCCTTCAAGGAGCTTGGCGAAGGGCCGAGCGTAAGAGCTCTATCCCAGGAGACAGTGGTCAAATGCTATGGCCCTTATTGCGAGTTTTACTTCACGGTGAAAACGACGTGAAGTGACCACTTCTCACTCACGGTGAAGTGATTGCCGTGTAAATCAAATGGGAATCACTTCACCGTGACTGATAAGTTGTCACTTCATCGTGAAGTGACATCGATAATAAGGGGCTATTTCTTTGAGTGTATCACTTCACCTTATATTAAAACACCTTGCTTTTTGTCGTGTCATTCGATTCTCGCTGAGTAGAAACAGTAAGCTCAGAAAGAAGAGAGAGTGAAGAAAACCACGAGACAAACTCCATGATTATTATCTTTAATAAACACGATTAAATAGTCGTTAACTGTTGTGTAATCAATTCTCGGCCGTAACAACATCACACAGAAGAGAAGCTGAGAAGTGCAGTGTGATCTGGGAGATGTCAATCCGGAGCTGTTTGAGATGGACTAAGTCAAGGTTGGATAGTCAGTGTGCTCGCTGAAAGCCACTCCTCGGGTTACCAAGCAACTGGCGCGATGCTTCAAGTGCATGGGATTCGGTCCCCAGGCGAGGAACTGCAATGGCCCTGACAGATGTAATCTGTGCAGGAAATGCGGAGAGAAGGGTCACATTGCAAGAGGCTGCACGAAGCAACCGAGCTGCATGCTCTGCAAAAAGAGGACGGAAACTGAAATCCAAGTAGTCGTTGGATTACCTGACCTGGTCATTCCTGTTATTTTTTCGCTGTCACTCCAATTCAAGAGCTCGAAGTGAGCAATTCAAGTTTGCTTTAATAAAACATTCATTTGTTCGTTAAGTCTCGGCCTGTTCATTATTACCCCGTCCTGGCCACGTAGTTCCTTTCAGGTTATGGGCTCGTCTACGAAGGAAGGCTCCGGAATTCTGCAGTTGAATGGAACGAACTTCAACTGTACCTGGATACGGCAGAAGTTTCAGACGTATTAACCAAGCCAGTTCCCGGTGAATCGGACCAGGGAAGGGCGAAGTTATTGCAGACAGATCGGAAAGCGAAGTCCTTGCTAGTTTGATTCCTTTCTGATGAATATCTAGGCATAATACGGGACAAGGAGACTACTCGAGAAATGTAGAAGGCACTAGAAGATACATATGCGGAGAAGTCTGTAGCAAGTCAGACTCTGTTGCAGAAGCAGTTGGCCAGGCTCCGTATGAAAGAAGGAACTTCGATGCGGCATCATTTTCAACAGTTCGACGATATCATACGCCAACTCGAAGCTCGAAGAGAACGACATGGTATCGCAATTATTTCTCACCCTTCCCGATGGCTCTAGAGAATATCAACGAGAACGACTTTCGAGATTCGAGCGAAGACAAGGCAGCAGCGTTTGTTGGAGGCAGAAATAAGAAGCAACGAAAGTTCAACGGAAAGTGTCATCGATGTGGTAAAACTGGCCACATGATGAAAGATTGTCGTGTCAAGAAAACCGATGGTAACGTCAACGCAGCGGTTGGAAGCAAAGCAGTTTCGTTCATGGTGAACCAGAAGCAACCGAAGGTGCAGAACAAGCGAACCATCTTCTACGTGGACTCCGGATGTAGCGACCATCTGGTTAACAGAATTGGTCTTATTACGGGTGTCACTACACGGTGATAAGGAAGTGATACTGCCGTACAAATCACCGTGACGACAAGTGACAAGTTTTCACCTTGAAGTGACACCCGTAATAAGCCCCAGTATGAGTCGGGAGGCGATCATGATTGTCTATGCTCCAAATGGCTACCGCTTATGGGACAGAAAAGCAAGAAAAGTATTCATCTCTCGTGACATCAAGTTCGATGAAGTTTCTTTACCATACGCAAATGAAGAAGATGAAGGCTCGAAGGTTCCCTTTCCCCGCCAGAGGGGGGCAATTCGTCGGTCGAACAAGAAGCACTAGCTGTTATCGAAAGCGAAACCGAAGATGAAGTCGATCCGGATACGCAAAGCACCGTTGATCTGGATGAAGAACCAACCGAAGAAGCTCCATCCGAAAACCACAACATAGAGGTGAGCACTATTCAGTGTCTGACACTAGGCGCAGTGAACGGGAGCGCAGGCTCCCAGGTAAGTTACTTGACTTCTTTGCTGGGCTTAGAGCAACATCTGCTGGTAAAATTTCAACTCTCCCAGATCCCCCGGAAAATCGACAGCTCTGGATGACCGCAGTTAGAGACTAGTTAAAATCTCTTGAGGAGAATAAGGTGTGGACGACGGTGGAATGCCCTGCCGGTGTCAAGCCCTTGCAGTCGAAGTGGGTCTTAAGCGTGAAAGAGGATGAAGAAGGAAACCATGTGCGATCCAAGGCAAGACTGGTAGTCAAAGGTTTCTTGCAGAAGGCTGGCCTGGACTACAACGAAGCATATGCGCCCGTTGCGAAGTTGACGACGATTTGAATTGTGCCGGCCGTAGGCGTACAAAGGGGATACCAGTTCCATCAGATGCACGTCAAGACGGCGTTCCTTCATGGTGAGCTGCAAGAGAGAATCTTCATGGCTATTCCGGCTGGCGTCAAGGCAGACCCTTGGCTGGTGTGCCAGCTACAGAAATCGTTGAATGGTCTGAAGCAGTCTCCTCGTTGTTGGAACGAAAAATTCAATCAAGCGCTGCTTAGGCTAGGTTTCACACGTTCCAAGATCGACTATTGTCTATACACCCGTATCAACAAGAGGGGGAAAGACGTTGTTTTCATCGTGCTGTATGTCGATGATCTCCTGATAGCAGGTATGCAGCTGACCACCATAATGAAGCTGAAACGCGAACTGTCGGCGATGTTTGAAATGATCGCTTGTGGAGAGTTGACTCATTTTCTTGGGATGAAGATACGGTACGATCAATAAAATGGTAGAATGATGCTGTTTCAAGAAACCAGCCTGGAAAAGATCTTGCAGAAGTTCGGCATGGCTGAGTGCAATGCAACAAGGACGCCAATGGAGAAAGGATTGAAATTAGATCGTCAAGTGGCCGAAGGTGTCCAAGAACCGTACCGTGAATTATTGGGAAGCCTGATGTACGTGATGATGTCCACAAGGCCGGACATTTGCTTTCCTATCGGATATCTGGCGAGATTCCAACTTCAACCTGGACAACAACATTGGACAGCTCTGAAACGGGTTGTACGATACTTAAAAGGATCAATGGAGTGTTGCTTGACGTTTACTCGAGACAATCAAGCGGCGCCACTCATCGGGTTTGCTGATTCAGACTGGGCCACCGATACTGACGACCGGAAATCAGTAAGCGGATTTGTTTTCCGTGTTTTCGGATGTACTGTTGCGTGGTCAAGCAAGAAGCAAACAACAGTTGCAACTTCTTCAAGCGAAGCTGAATATGTAGCGTTGAGTGCTGCAGCATCGGAAGCAATATGGCTAGTCGGTGTTCTAGACGATCTCGGTGAGCTGAACATTGAACCAATCACCATATACGAGGACAACCGTGGATGCATTGGTATGACCAAGAACTTGGAGAGTAAGAGAGTCAAACACATCGACA